ACCTGGCCACCTACTCCTACAAGCACGGCCGAGGCAAGGAGAAAGGCGCGCTCACCTACAGCGACCTGTCCCACACGGCCGAGGAGTGCGAGACCTTCCAGTTCCTCGCAGGTATCCCCGACGGAGGGGCAGTCCCGAGTGCGCTGGGAGAGTGAAGGGGCGATGCCATAGCATAGCGCGGACACGGCCCTGCTACCCGTTGTTAATCTCCTGGAAAACGTTGTAGCTCAAATTATCACTAGAAACATTTATTTGTTTGTGAGACGGGGTTATTTTCAGAGCGAGCACTGTTCCCCAGAACAGGCTCACCTGAGTACAGGGAAGCAGTTTCCACAGAACATAAATTGGAGAGTTAGCCCATTAAATCTGTGCAAGGAAGCTAAGTAATTGAGTTCTACGTTTACATGCTTTTAATGTTTTACATCAAATCCAAAAATGTAGCCAAGACAGTTGTTTGTAATGGCTTTTATAAAATATTTTCTTTGTCTTTAGCTACTTCTACCTTAAGTGGGCAATTCCCTCCTTTTCTTGCAGTTGGTTTATAAGGTAGGGTTCTAGTTACTCTCTAAAATCATAATTTCTAATTGCTTCTTTTGGACTGTGTTTCAGTAGTGATAATGGATAAAACAGTATTAATGAGATGATTTAAGTATTCCAGCTTTTCATACAAGAAGCAATTCTACATTTCAGATATCTTGCCAAAGAAGATCCTAGCTAGCAAATATCTAAAAATGCTCGAAAAAGAGAAGCGAGATGGGGAAGTGGGGGAAGACGAAGATGAGGAGGATGATGATGATGAAGATGAAAGCGTTGGCGAGGATGCCGGATCCTAAGGCTAAGAGAATTCCTTCACCAGGGAATCCATTTTGTGTTGTATAAAGGATGCTATTTTGGTGACTGAGAATCCAGATGCTGGACATATTTTTACACTGAGCCATCTGCTTTTGCTTTAAGAACTTTAGAAATGGAACCTCATCCTTGGCCGAAGGAGGGAATTCTTCTCTCGGACACATGACGGGGAAGGAAGTTACTGGAAATCTGATGGCCGAAGTTCCTTGGGTGACTTAAACTTTCTTCTTCAGACAATCGTTACCAAATTGAAAATGTCTCACGGGCAACGCAGCTTTCGGGCCCAAGGCTCTTTCTCCCTCGACTTGGAGTCTTCGCCGCGTTCGGTGTTTTCCTCAGAGTGGAAAAAAAGGGAGACTTTTTATCCCATGACAGTAACTGATCAAACCTTCCCCCCTATTTTCTGCAGCCAGGGCATTAGCAAGGGACCAAGCCCATTTAAAAACAAATCTGTAAAAAAAGCTGCTTTTGTAACGCAGCCTAAGTAGCCGTTTCTGCGCAGAAATGGGCTCGAGGATCAGATCCATCCCAACAGCTAATGCGGGAAAAAGTGGAAGTCAGGTAATGATGTAAATATGTACATCTAGAATCTTCCTTTTTTCTCCAGCAAAGTCTCTACTTCTGCAGTTTCTCTGTTTTTCTACCCAGATGGATGACAATTTAAGTTTATTGAATGTAGATGGTTGAATGGCAAGCGAACAAGCTACCTTTGAGTGGTAGAGCTCGATTTATTTTTCCATTTTCTTGTGTGCTTGTGTTTTAATACAGAAATGGCACCAGTCCTACATAGAACTTTGTATACAAACTTTTTGAAATAAATGTTTTGTATGAAAATTGACAGTTGTTTTGTCCCGGGTCACAAATGAAGTCAAAAAGGGAATCACAGGAGAAGAGATGGAAGCAGGTTGGATATAAAAGCTTCTCCCCAAACTGCCCTACCCCACGCTCCTCTTGGGACCGCTGCAGCAACGGGCGAGTGAAATTTCCAAGCTGGAGGCAGTGGGATGCCTGGGAAGGGTGGGCTTGTTCTCTAACTGTTGTAAGTACAGGGAGAGCTGTGGGAAACGTCGAGGCTGGAGAACTGGGCCTGGGAGGAGTCGTGTCTGATGGCTGGAGCCCCTAAAGGAAACACATTGCACAGGGGAGCAGAGGTGCGTGGACAGGGGAGTCCGACAGGTAAAATCTCCAAGTACCTGTTATGTTCCCGTCTTGCCATGGCCGCTGAAGGTCACGGGTGGACGCTAGAGCACGTGGAGTCCAGCTCTTGCTGCAGGACATGGGCTGACCTCTTCTGAGGGGCTTATCATGTCTGCACTGACAATTTGGGAGCTCCTCCTCACCCAGGCTGCCCCAGGAGACTGTGAACTCCCATCTGCCCAGATCTGCAAAACACCAGAGGAACACTGGCTTCCAGCTCGGTAAGAACTCACCCTGGTGCACCCCTGTGGCACAGTGAGCACCCTCTGCCGCGCAGCAAGGCCTCCAACTCAACCACTCCTCAGTGCAGGCAGGAGGCTCCACGGTGGCTTCCCAAGTGTCCAAATTGGGAACCAGCTCCAGATTTTGCATCCCCCCAGCCTTATTGCCATTAAAACAATAAATTTTGCAGTAATCCTGCATTCCAAAATGAGAGAGGCAGCCGAGCCCCTCTTCTAACTCACATGATTGAAGAAAAAAGCAGTTCCTTCCTCCCCACGCCCCCAAAAGCGCCCCAATCAAACCCCAAAGGCACCACATCAAAGCTCATAAAGATGAGGAACTTTTTTATTGACATACTATGAGGCAAAACGAAATGGACACCATACAAAACTTTATAAAATATCATTCACATCATTATTTTGTCAGGAATTACAGCATTCTGAGCCTGTTACAAGTCTTATGTTTTGAGGTGAAAAACACTATGCTAAATCTTTAGTATTAGTTGTATATATATACAGTAAGAAACCAAAACAGAAACTGTTAGGTTTTTTTTTTTTTCATGAGTTTATTGCAAAAGTAGTGCAAACTATTTTACCTTGCAAGCTGTAAAACGAACTCAGAAAAGGACCCACCTAAGCTTAAAAACGTGACAAGAAATGCACAGTTTCACAGCCTTCAAAGCTTCCTTCAACAGTTCTCAAAGAAATTTCCCCATCTCTGCACATTTTTCTGTTAGATTTTCACCGACTCGGAATGGTAGAAGGAAAAAGGCCCGAATGAAACGCTAGGCATGGGCCATAGCTGAGAAAGAAAAGAGTTGAGAAAGCCGAAAGAATGAGGAAAATAAGAGGTGCTAAGAAAAATGAGCAACATAAATAGTCTGTTTTGAAGTAGAGCATCCTTATCCTGGAGGTCCCTACACCAAGCGGGGCCCCCCCTGCTCCCACCACCATCCGGGGCCGGATCCCACTTTCCAGAGCACTACAGAAACCGACACCCCGAACACTACCGGGGTCCCCAGCGCAAAACAGGGACCTAGGAAAATCCATTAAAAAAAAAAAAAAAAAAAAAAAAAAAAAAAAAAGGGCAAACAAATGCTACACGGAAAATGATAAAGGAACAAAATGCAGCATATTCAGGCTTTTTTTTTTTCTTTTTCTCCTTGAGGTACCTGTATAAATATTACTACCTTCTGCCCCAAATTCGGTACAAAACTAAAATCCTCGTCGTGAGCCAATTGCCGGGCATCCATCGTCACGGAGAAAGTGCAACCATGCTGATCATTTCTATGCAGCATCTTAAAAGCAGGATTAGGCTTTAGAAAATAGAGCTTAAGTAAAGACCTGATGGAGCAGATTTATAAAAAGATTTAACAGAGGCATTTTATTATTTTTTTTTCCTTTTTTAATTTTTTTTTTTTTAATTTTTCTGTTTGAGTCTCTGCAGCAGAAAGCTTTAGGAACCAGCGTGGAAGTTCTGCCCCTAGGGAATGTCAGCACTTTTATTATTCCACATAGAGTTTTTCCTTTCATATTTAAACTAAATAAGATTTATAGAACAAATTTCCCCCCTCTCCCCTTTCTGTATTTGCTACTGGTAAAAAGGTTTTTTTTTTTTTTTTTTCTCCTTCAATTAAAAAATGATAGCATATCACAGCTTAATATTTCTCCCAAAGGAATCATATTTGAGTTTTTTTTTTTTTAAAAAAAAAGATTTAGAGCGTAGAAAAAACACATACAGAATTGTAAACTGTTAAATATAAAACGGTGTGGAAAACGCAATGACGTTTTTCTTCCCTCCCCCTTATACACGTATCCCTTCATTGTCTATGTGTGGCCATACACACACACAGACACCATCTGGCATCGTGGGTGTGTATGTAGATGTGTATGTAGATATACCCAGAAGGACAGATCACACCGAAATGCACATACGCAGGGTTGGGGTTTTATCCTCTACAGTTCTCCTGACCAGGGAGCTCTTTGCCTGGCTCTGCTGGGACACTCCGCGTTTCCTCATCCAACACACCGAAAAACAGTTCAACAGTTGCTGAAACTACAGATTCCTGCTTCAAAAACAACCCCAAGGCCCCCAAAACAAACCCCAAACCCGGTCTGCCGCTACCCCCCCGAGCATCCGCCCCCCGGTAGCACCCGACTGTCAAGTGAGGTAGATGGGGCCCAGAAGCCGCCTGCGGCGACAGCGGCCTCCGGAATTTTTGCATCCGTTGAGGAAAGACTCCGAGCGGCTTCTCGGCGCGTTAAGGCTCCAAGCTGCATCGCCGCGGCTCGGGTTTCTTTTTTTTTTTTTTTTTTTTTTTTCCCCCCCCCAAAAAAAAGAGAAAATTTAAAAAAAAAAAAAAAAATTGCATTTTGGTTCGCAGGCGGCACGACACTTCTCCACTCATTTTTGGTTCTTTTCCCTCTAGTTACAAAAATAACAACAGAAGAGTGTGGAAACGCACAGGTTCGGAGCTCAGCTACACCTGCGGCGCCCCAAAAGAAAGTAGGGAATGAAATGGCAAAAAAAAGGGATTTCGGCAATACATTCTGGTTCCTGCGCCCAATCCGGGGCTTCGCTCAGGAACTGTCCCCATTTTGGCCACCTTTCCCTATCGGACCAACTAACACAATCCCACTGAAGGCAGGAAAACTGCCCATTACCCCAATCAGTTTCTGCCTTTGCAGCTTCCTGGAGGGAGCCCCATTCCCCTTTCTGCAGCAGGCGTGTGCCTATACGGACATATGTCAGTATAGGCAACACATATACACGTACAATGCATATATACACACACAAATATGTATCAGATTTGCTAAATTGCATCAACACGTGACCCAAAACGAGCGGCAGCGTTCGAGGAGAGCGCACGCAGCTTTGCCACACCGGCATCTTCATTGCACCCAATGCATGGTTTCTTTTCTCCAGAATATATCAAACTTCCTCCCTATGTATTTATTTTTTTCTGAGCGAATGCCCTCATTTAAAATATGTAAAAAATATATATTTCTCCCCCCCCCAAAAGGTCTACAGTAAATTATTCCCTACGTATTATCTTCTGCAAATGCCTAAAATACCTACCCCATCCCCCTACCATGTAACCAAAACCCACTATTTCTATTGCCCCAAACTAGGTGATTAAAAAAAAACAGAAGAAAAAAAAAATCTACTATCTTCTTTTTCTATTTTTGGCGACAATTTAGCCACGATTCCTGCTAGCCCTTAGGCCAGTAGGAATTTCATTTGCTCTTAAGGAGGAGAAAGAGCGGAGCAAGCGGAAGCTGCCCGGCACAACGGCGCATCCGAAAGGCAGGGGCAAAACATCAGAATGAAGATGGAAAATAAAGAAGAAAAAAAGGGTGCTGCCTTTAATGTAGCTTTGCAATGTAAATATTTGGCTCTTCAACAACGTTTCCTAAGCTCGTGTCTCAGTGCTGTAGAACAGGGCAGCACCCCTAGAACACGACCAGGACGGGCGCCGCGGCGCTCCGGGGTTCGCGATCCGTAGCGCTGTGCCCAGGACTGCCCAAGAGCTACAGCACATGCCAAAAAACAGCCTTACAGTAAAAAGGGAGTTCAAAAATCATCAGTGCAATTACCTTTTGCTTGAAGCGTTCCTTACCAGAGCCAGCAGGAGCGCGATAGCGAACGGAATATAACAGTAAAACAAGTGTTGTTGGGTGGTAGAGGTTGGGAAAGCCACCCTGGCAGGAGACACGCACCAAAGGTGTGACTGTAGGAGAGGAACACTTGAAAAATAGAAAAAAATGACATTTTAATATGCTGGTATTGAGTGTGAAGAACACAGAGTGAGAACTTTCTTTACATTCCTTTTTTAAGCCACCTGAGCACATGGGAGTCTGAACCGCCACCTCCAAAATCCTCGTGAGAAAAATGTAGCTTCAGTCTTAGAGACTGACTCTATCTTAACAGGATTCGGCTAAAATTCGACAGCAGCCGTAAGAGCTACTGACAGAATCAGAATTAAAGCTAAATCTTAGCAACATTTTGGCTTCAACAACCAGGGAAGGTAACCTGGAAAAAGATGAGGGGGACACATATATATTTATATATACACACGCACATAAATATATAAAGGATTTTTTTGCTTCAAACATAACTAGCTGTGAATCTTCCCCTGCTGAAGAGACAGCAGCTTCCTAATATCCTGGACAGGTGACAAAGTGATGGGAAAATGGGTCACGCAGCAAGCCCGGGGAGGAAGCCAGCGGCTGTGGAGAAGCTTCTGCAACACGGCAGGTCCCCGATTCCCCCGTGGATAATTGAGCATCCAGTTACTGCAGCTGAAAGACTGACCCACCCCAGCCAGAACGAGCACGGACAAGCGACCCTCCGGCAGCACAGAGGTGAAAACGGGAAGGGAAGATGCTCAGACTGCTCTTAAGTGCTGGACCCGACCGCAGACAAATTCCCCTGCGGTTCCGCACGCGCCAGCCGGCAGGAAAACGCGTCTGCTTATTGCTGACCTGAGCCGCGCGCCGAGTTAGTGGTTTCAGCTAGTGGGTCCACAGCAGGAGCTGGGGACACCCTGAGCTCTTGCATCCTTTTTATCTTTGATCCCTTCCCCGTTCTCGAGCGGCTGCTTAGCTGTTTACCTGAGATATTGCTCTTTTTGCCAGAGGTGACAAAAGTAAGAACAAGGGAGCTGTTCTGGGATCAGATTTGGGTTGCTTGCATTAAAGACCTTCCCAGAGCCATAGTCCTTTTCCATGCACAAACAAAGTTTTTTTTGAAGAAAAAAAAATGCTGTCAGTCATTCACTGCTTCACCATTTGCTGGGGGGCGAGCAAATAAAGCCTTTGGCATGGCTCCCTCTTTGATTTAAAAGCTGCAAAAGGTCAAAACATCCCTCATCTGAAATGCTGATAACCATCCCAAGGTCTTCATGCTCTGGGAAAGGAAGCTGCACCAGGGATTAATTTTCTGTTCCTCCCAATAGGAGATGGAGACAACAGCTATGCAAAGGCGATGGGGCTGCTTAATGCTCCTGCTCTCACAGAAAGGGCTGCAACTGCTATTCCAGCCCAGAAAACCCATCCAGATTAGGTGTAGTGCAGTCCCACCGCCTGCTTTGCAGGGAAGACTTGGGATCTGCCCTCCGCGGCCACCTGCACACAGTCGTTCATCCCAGGCTGCCTCGCAGCAGGAGGAGGATCGTCACATCCAAGAGGTCCCTGCCTAACGAAGAGCCAAGTAAATAAACTGAGCTTCCAAACGGCTGCTTGGCTTCCTCCTTGCTAAGGATAGTCCGCAAAAAAATAGTTCATCTGTAAAACTTTGCCAAATTAACATCTTCACTGAATCCTGAAACCTCCTGAGCTAAATGCACAGAAAAGCTCGACTTACTCACTGGGAAAAGGGTGGGTAGGAAACAGAAAGACGGAAACACGACCCAGATTTTGCTTTCTGTTACCCCAACATAACATTAAGTCTGGATTTACTTAACATAAACTTACTACTTAATGTAACTTCACTACGACCAAGGAGCTCTGCCCCAGGAAGCCTAAACAACAGCAAGAATAACACGACTACTCTAACAGCGACAGATTTTGCATCATTATTTCAGCGAAACGGCGACCAAGACGCTGCTACGAGGTGAGGAGCTGAACTCGCCCCGAGTTCCGTACCAAGAGCTTTGAGGCAGCAAAAATGGGCGTTTTGTAGCTTATTCGAGAGCCACCCGTTCTCCTCCACCCACTACATGGCACAGGCCCCGCTTCAAGCTGTTCACCCAGCTCCGTGGCTAGAGGTAAACATGCCCCAAAGCGGCGCCTGGGAGAGAAAGCAGAACGAACCCGGGGCCAGGACAGGTTTTTAAGAGCACCCATGTGGGGTCTCCTATGGGAGACGGCAGAGCTGAGCAGGCGCCAGGGCTCCGCACTCCCAGCTGGCTCGCGGCAGCGCGGTTAGTGCAAAGGTTTCCCAAGGGATCCACAGCCTCCCCACGGCTCCCAACTGCCCCTTCTCCGACAAGGAGGGCAGAGCTCTCGCGGTTCCTCCTCGCCTGATGCGCAACCGAAGAGCCTCACGCCCCCTGCACGCAGTGACCTTCCCTTTCCCACTCATCTTTTACTGCATAGAGTCTCCAAATTTGCTCAGAGTTACAAACCTCCTCCGCTTGAGCACCTCTGCCTCCCCAGCAGCAACAGAGAAAGAAGATGCCAACAGTTCTGGGCTCGAGTTGGCCCCGGAAGGGCACAGGCCGAACTCACCGCGACGCTGCAAAGCCCTCTCTGCGCCTGCCGAGTCCCCGGCGCCGTCTCCGCACGCGGCGCCGGCCACACGTCTCCGCGCTGGAAGAGCCACGTCCACGCGAGCAGGTTTGAGTTTCCAAATCCAAAGCATTCTTGATATGTTAACAGAAGTATAGTGAGCACTCCTTAGTAAATAAAAAATAAATAATAGCATCTAGTCTATCACATTAATACTGTGAAACATATATAAAATTTACATTAATTCCAACATAACAGTGAAAAAGGATTGTACTGTATTCATCACCACAGACCCGTATTCTTTAGAGACTTTGGAAAGTTAAGTGTCACAGTCCTGTATGACAAATTCTAAAATTAGCTGTCAGTATGATTTCAAAACAAACAAACAAAAAAAACTCTTATTTTTTGTTTAAATGGCACCTTTTCTTTTGCCAATCTAACTGGAACTATTAAAAGTTTAGGTACAAGTTCTTTTTTTCTTAAAATTTCATATTTAGACTATGAAAAACATTTTTAAATGCAGCACAATAAAAAACATTCAAGAACAAGCGTCAGAAAATACATTTACCCTCAGACACACAGAGAATAATCTTTTTAAGACAGTTGAAAAATCAGAATTTTGTCACTTTTTCCTTTTGAAAATAAAGTTTTGTAAATGCATCTAGAATAATCAAGGCATAAATAGTCAAAAAAATGCTCTGCTTTCCTTTGTATTAAAAGCTAGTTCACAGCATTGTCAGCCCCTCAACTTTAGTGTGAATTAGATCTTTCCAAATTATTAAAAGCGATTCAGATGAATAGCCAGCTGAACAAAGAGCTCTGCGGGGGGGTTCTCCCTAAGCCCTGAGATCACAGCTCTTGACTTGATTATAAAACATGGGTCTGTTTAGTAACAAGCAGCTCAAGAGATTTTTGGCAAGCCACATTTCCAACAATTGTGGGGTTTTGTAGAAGACTGCAGTTGGTAACCAAGTCTGAAACTCCTGGACGGAAGGCTTTCTTGCAAATGGGAAAAGGAATGAGGATGCATCCCTCCTTGCTGGCTGTCACCGTAGCTTGGGCATCTGTTGGTCTAAGTGCAGCTGGTCTCACGTGAACCCAACTGTGTCGTGCGCGGAGTCGCTGAACACTAAAACATGTCAAGCGAAGTACATAGTGCGCAACGTGTCCTGGTGAACTTGAACTGCTTTAGCAAGTGCTTGGTGATCTCTGCCGTTGCTCTGCCCAGAAGTGTGGCTTCCTTCAGCGCTGGGAAGAGAAGGGAGGGAAAGCAAGAAGAAAATGGGGGGTGGTGGTGTGAAGAGGGGAGAGAAGCCCCGTTTAATCTGCCTCTCCTTTAATACATTATTTTCACATCAAACGCTCCTGAAGGCTCTAAAGTGAATGCTATTAAAAGCACCACTCAAGTTCTGGAATAGCAGAAAGAACAGCAGGATACGGAAGCATCTTCTGCTGTTTCATAGTGTAGTTCAGTGGAAAGACCAAATTTACCAAATTTACCCTCAGGCTGCTACCTGAGGGTACCACTGATCCTCGAGCTAGCGACTCCGCATCCTTCCCACCGCCTTCAAACCACGCAAAAGCTCAGAATGCCCCAACTCACCTATCGTGTTCCTTGTCCACCAGATGGTACCGGGCTCTGAAGGCCACCAGGTGGGCGTAGTAGGCGGGCGCGGGGATGGAGACGGAGCGCGTGCAGCGCACGTACGTGTGGCACAGCTGGTAGGTGAGGATCTGCAGCTCGTCCGAGGAGAACCGGTTGTCGTCCCAGAGCACGTGGTAATGAGAAGGTCTGCTTGTTCCCTGCAGGCAGGGACCACCGAGGACATGAGCACCCCAAAAACGTCTCCTCCGATTCCCACCCTGCCAGGTGAACTGCAGTGTAACTGGCTACTTCCTCAAAATTATGTAAAATTACATAATGCAGCATTTTTTGTTCCTTTAAAAAGGCACCAAGCTCCCTCACTGCTCCCCACATAACTAATCCCTTTGCATTTTTGAACAAGGGCTGCATTTGCTCAAGTTTGATCTGTTCCTCAAGCGCTCGTTCTGAAGTGTATTTTGATCCTGTGAAGCATTGATCTGACAGGTAGGTCTAGGAAAACCATTAATAGCTAACTGCAATTTAATCAGTGCCTACGTTGAAGACTCTTTTATAGAAGAGCATTACATTTTGACATCTAGTCCTCTTGCTGCTGTTTAATTGTTGCTGTTTCTGATTGCAGAGAAGAGATCACAGGAAAACACAAAACTACAATGGTGATACCCAAAAGTGCTAGTCGTGTCCTAGCAATTGGATACACATTTCAAGTGAATCTAATGCAAGAGGCACTTTGTCTCTTATAACTTTTAGCTACAGAAATGAGGTGATTTCCAGAAAGCAAAAGGGCAAGGAATGAAATTAAGGTGATATACATATATATATATACACACACATATATACACACACACATATATATATATATGTATGTATATGGTATTAAGGTGCTTATCTATATATGTGTGTTATCAATCTTAGACTCCTTTTGCAGTCCATGGAGAGAGCAAGGATATTTTAGGGAATGCTCCATTAATCCAGAAGCAGCTTTGCGGAACAGCCAGCCAACCTTGCTGCTATTTAGAGAGCAGCCAGCCAGGAGTGAAGCTCAGCAAACTAAATGCACAGGCTGAGCTTCGTATCACTTGAGTTGTTCCTTCTTTTGGGTTTTAAGAATCACAGAAGAGCATCGTGGATGAGCCAGGAATACTCAGAAGTTGCATCCTTGGTCATCTGTGTAAGTGCCCAGTGTTATCATTCAAAGACTGCACCCACCCAGGACGCCCTACCTGAATCCCTGCGTGGCTGCATAGGTAGAAGTCAAATTCTGATGGATGGGTGATTTTTGTGTCCACTGTGGTGCCAGCTGGAATGTTTCCACTTTTTCCAACCTGCGAGAACAAAAAGTGCCCATTTAGTAAGACACAGATAAGCTCTTCTCTTTAGTTGGGCAGTAAAAAGAGAAACAAAACCCAGACTGTAAGATAACTGTAGCACAGATTTGAGGATTTAATTATCTTAAGATAATTAAAAAGCAAAAAGTGAAAAAGGGACCAGTGAAAATGAATCTCAACCATTGAGGAACTTGAGCCAGTCCAAAAACTGAAAGGGCACCTGAAGAACTTGATAAATTGTCCCCAGGAAAAAAAAAAAAAAAAAAAAAAAGGATTTAAAGACACGTTGAAAGCACATTCTGCTGTGTTTTCATAAAAGCCTCGGGCCTTTTTTTTAAATAAAAACAGAAAATGAAGGTTTGCCTGTTCAGGCAGAAAGATCCCACCACTTCACTTGTAGCACTTCCTCCAACCAGCCCCTTACTATTTGGTTAAGCAATGATTTTTAAATGCAGGGTGAGGGCAGCTCAGCTAGTCACAGATTACAACCTACCCGTTCGTTTTTATCTGTGCAGAAGAGCCTGGTGTGATGCCTCTTCTGCACAACTATAAACGTAATCCCAGGCTGGTAATCCTTCTCCAGCTTAATACAGGCTTCCCTAATGGCCAGCAACTCGTGGTGGAGAACCTGAATCATAAAAATAAGAGTGTGACAGATATGAAAGACAGTTTTCTACTAATTACTCTCATTTATAACATCCTTTCTTGCTTTGTCACTCAGAATGATGAAGTGTATGCGGGTTCAAATCTTCATTTCTTCACTTGATGAGAACAATTTAGAGCACCAGTTTTAGAGCAACAGTTTAAAAGCAGCCAGAATCAGCTTCCATATTTGTACAACTCTAAGCATGAGGCTTGGACCAAGTTGAATGTCAAAATCTTTTTAACTGCCAGCTACAAATGAACATTTAATTTCATTGTTGAATACACAACAGCCTAATTATTTTTCAGACTAGTTCAAGGAGTAAAATCCAGAACTGCTGAAGTGGATGCTGTTTCCTAGTTTTGTGAACTCGTGTGGTGACTACGAGAACCAATAAAAAATGAAAAAAAAAGTCTTATAAAATTCAAAATTGTTGCTTTTTGTTTATCATAATTACCTTAGCTATGAATGAAATATACAGTGGAAAACAGCAATAAATGGAAAAATCAGTATTAGGGAGAGAAAAAGCCCTGAAGTTCATACAGAAGCAAAATAAATACAAGAAGATACCTGTTAAAGTTTACAGGGAATAAATGAATAGTGACAAGCGAAAAATATGGGATTTATAAATTCTAGGGAAGAAATAAGAATACTAGCTTACATTTAGAACACGAATGGTACAGAAAAGCTATGAGAACGAATCTGACTAAATATCTTGAATAAGTCACATACATTCAATGCCTCACAGCATTAAAATTGTACTTGACCATTTATTTGTGCAAAGGGAAGTATTTTAAGGAGAAAAGATACGAAAAGCTCCTGAAAAATATGCAAAGACTTTTTCTGCTCCTCATGGGTAGCATCCAACATATCTGTTGGACCCATACCCCTCTTTTCACTGCTCCACTGCACAGGACCACGTAGAGCAGAAAGTCTGGCACAAAGCTACATATTCAAAAGCTTCAGAAAAAAAAAAGAGTAACCTGTTGGAACTGCCCCTCGGAAACACCATCTCGGTAGAAAATAATGCGAGTTGGTTTAAATCTGGTTGATTTGTAGAACTGAATAAGCAGCTCCCTGACCATGGCAGCCAAATCCTGGATGATTTCTTGGCGGTGCTGCTGGACCCGGACAGTGGCACAGTAACGATTCGGATGAGCATCCATGCTCCCTACAACCTGTTCACAAAATAAATAAGAACACCACCAAGCTTAAATCCAAGCCAAAGCAAACCACCAAGCCAAACTTGAAAGCATTTGAATAAAAGTTATGAAAATGACTATTTTTAACAGTATCTTACAATCTTTAGGTTTGACCAAAGACACAGTCAAAATCATAATTAAGCTTGGGAAATGCTTTGAGCGTTCTCTGTCTGTGGTAACACACTAAGTACAGCTCTACCTGACTTTCTCTGGACACATTTGTATTTATTTTTTTAAATAAACAAATGTTCGTAGTTCAAAAGATGTGTTTAATGTAACACAATAAGTCAAAGGCCTTTTCATCTACGCCAGGAGTGAATATTTGAGAGATCAGTGCACAATTTGCTTTGCCTGGAAGAGAGAATCAACAGAAAAAACACAACAGGACCAGCATAATTCACTAACAGTAAGGGACAATTTAAAAAATATTTTTAACTGCTGCAAGGCAGTTTTAAAGACACTCTGACTTCTTAGAGATCACCAGTAGGAGAAGCTCCTCCGTGTATTAGCATCTCAGGCACTTTACAAGTGAATACATAGATTTAAGTAGTTACTTCAGAGCAAGATCCCCAAAGTTCCATTAGATTCTGCAGAAAAATAATACACAGTGCTGTAATTAGGCAATAAGAAGAGAAATTCTAAGTATTTGAGAGCAAGTAACAAACTGAAAGAAATGCATCAAATCAGAGCAGCTGGGGAGAGCAGAGTTAAAGATTATTGCAGTTTACTCACTGCAGCAATAGAAGGCTTCTTTCCATCCCCAGCTGGCGGATGAGTTACATCTGCACCAAGGAATATAACAGGCTGCTGAAATACTGATGGTCTGAAAAAGAAAAAGTGGCTTTGTCAAAGCAGCAAGGCAGCTTGGTAGAGCATATTATAACTCAAATAAATAGCACTTCACACTCCTGCAGGAGGGACAAGAATTAGCCAACAACTTGCACTTGCCCAGAAGGGGTCATTTGTCCTGAGGCAAGACACAAAACTCCTGATCAGGGTTTTCATGCTAGATACTAAGTACTTGCATATATTTTTCAAGTGCGGCTAATTGCAAACTGGTAACTTTTCTATTCAAAAAAAAAAAAAAGAGGTTGAAAAAATATTTTTAAGTTCAAGCCAAAAAATTGCCTCCTCCATGCCCTGAACTGCAAAAGAGATTAAATCTGTTCTCTTAGGATCAAAAGAAATCTTCAAAAATTAAAGATTTGTGTATATACGTATTTTTGCATACAAAAAGGAAAAACAGCCTCCGTAAGGACGTATGAAAAATCTGGATGTTACAGATACTATTTATAAAAATAGATTTTTAAGAAATAAGTTTCTAAGTTTTAAAAAATCATGAGGTTACTTTACTGCACCAAAAGTAGAACACCAGAACACTGCACCACTAATTTTAACCCCCGAAACCCTTTGCCAGTCTCCCGGGTGTTATATGTACTTGTGCTGTCTTTTCCTTTCTCCTTTCATTTAACTCCATTTTCATGAATGGATAATTTGTTGGTATAAAAAGCAGAACCCAATTTTTTGGCCAAGTTACTGTTGTTACCACAGAGCAGAAAACTGCTATTTATGAAAGTGACACAAAACTGTTGATACGGTGTGGGCCTATTTTTGTTTCCACAGCAGCTTCTATAAGGAGGTGAATGCTCTGTAATTATTCTTAAATGCTTTACTAGAGGAGGCTTAGACAAGCACACTATTCAAGCAGACCATATTTAGAATTTAAGCATGATTTAAACAGAATTTAAAATGTACACAAAATGTACCCCCCCGATAACACTCTTGTTTTCCCCTAAGTGCTTGTTGTGGATTGTTTTTCAGCAGCTGCCTTGCGACTAGCCTAAATATGAAGTGAACATTTGCTTATCTGAGCCAAACAGGGCGTTCACTTCTTTGAAATGGGATCCCAGGAATGATACAGCAGGTTATTCCTTGAGCTCTCTACAGCTTGACATGCAAGGATTGCAAAAATTCCATCTTTTGACTGAGGTAGAGACCTTGCTGCTCATTTTGATTGAACTAGCTATACCTACCTTTATCCTAGCCCTCCCTATTCTATGCAGGTAGGATAAAACAAGCTCAATTTTGTTCATTTTTTTTTCCATCAGAATTCTTTGTAATAGATTTTTTTTCCATAAAACTGATAAAAAGATTCAAACTGAGAGCATTTATTATTAAGTGATACATAAATGCAACAGATCTTGATAAAATCTTGAGCAACAGGGTCCATTTGTTTTTACAAATAAGAGGATATTTCACTGTCACTCTAATCAAGTATACAAGAACTGAATGATCTGTTAACTATGGAATTCCATAGCATCCAAGCAACTTTCCAGAGTATATCACAGTAGAATTAAATATAGTATGTACTAATACAGTATGTATTAGTGGTCAGCTAAAGAACTGTAGTAACAATACAGAACTGCAAAGTAAACTGGCAATTAATCATTTCTGCTCCCAACTTTTATCTTTTCAAATATAAGTAATATTATTTTTATTGTTTTTTCCTATACTTCTCAAGTGGAAGAGCTATTTTTTTTCCAGTGTTTATAACTCAACTTTTGCAAGACCCTGCTAGAACCCCAAAGATATTTTGTCTAGAGTCCCATAAAAGAAAACAGTGCTATCAGCTACAGATAAAAGCACCTATATTATGTCAATATGGTCTGCATTCTCTTTGTAATACAAAACCCTCTTCTCTGAAAGCTCTTACCTTCCCTGTGGCAGCAAAATATTATTTACACCCCCTAATTTCACGTTTATTTTTAAGCAAAGGTTGGAAAGGGTTTGTGGTGTTGTTCTTTGTACATTTTTCATCTGGACACACTGCGTGGCCATTCCCAGCACTGTGTCACCAACACGCTTCACCTCCGCTGCAAAGAGAAAGACAAGAGTAAAAATAAAATATTTGCACACTGCTAATCAAAAGCTGAAGGAGACTAATTCACTACTCTTAGAGTTCTAGCAAAGTGGTTCCTTTTTTTTTCTGTAAACATGAAAAATAAAGAAAAATCCCAGTCTCCAAGCAAATCTTCTCTCACTTCTACCCGCTGACAGTACAGAGTCCTAATTCCAACTTTTTTTTTTTTAAATCTTAACTATGAGTTGTTTCAAATTACACTAACTGTAATTTCAGAGTTTTTGTGTTTCAGAAGAAACTTTGACTAGTGAAGTCAGGCTATGTAAAAAAAAAAAAAAAAAAAAAAACACTAGGATGAACAGTTATTTTGTCATTAAATGCTGGACAAAAAATGCAAACTTAATAAAAGTGGTAAGTAATACTCAGCCAACCCATGAACATCGTCCTCCCAGTTTATCACTTCATCAGTGTTAACCCTGACTCGCATAAGAAGTGGACAGATGAGCAAAGGATGGCCCATAAACACTCCACAAGGAACTCATTGAGAGTTTCGCTCTTCAAATGTTTAAACAGAGTCTCCTGTTAATAATAAAACTGAGACTGCAGGCTCTGAGAGCACCATAACCTGACATTCTGGAAAATAAGAAATTCAGACTCTAAAGGAATTGAAGCAATACTGCCTTTTTTTGAGAAAGGGCAGTTCTCCCTTTGACATCACCAGAGGGAATTCTGCTAAACTCAGTCGAGGGGAGAGAGGTTTGGGATGGGATGGAGGGGACCAAATCTGCAGCTGCAGGTTTGCTCTGAGCCAGTAGCTGAGTGTGAGCCTTAGAAACCACAGGAGGAAAAAAGGTAGATGATCCTGCAATGGGGCAGAGCAGGACAGAAAATGGAGCAGTTTTTTGTACAGGACGAGCTAACTAAAAACAAAACACATGGTTTGTCTGAAGGGTATGAAAACAATAGGGATGAGCCCTGTAAAATGGACAAATTACCAATCTGCTTCTGAAACGGTTCAATGTCGCTGAGTTTATATAAACTTATGCATGTTTGTGTCCTTGCAACCCAAGAGTTAAAAGGTAAAACAACAGGAAAAAATCCACTGGCAGAAATCTTCCTCTTCAGGCAGGTTTTTGCCAAAGGCTGAGTCAGCAAAGATGTTTTAAAAGCTACACACAGGTTTTGAGTTCACTCCCTCGCTTAGAGCTTTTAGCACACAACTTGCTGCAAGTAAATTTGAAACCACTGGAATTTTTTTTAACAATTTTATAAAAAGCCTTGATTTTAGCCTTCTCACTAATTGAATGCATCACGAACAGGATGGATATGAAAGGGCAAACAGAAAGGAGAAAGTAATGCAGCAAACTGAAATGGAAAATAAAAACACAAACTGCAGCATTAATGTGAAGGATCATCACGCAGCACAAGAAAAGGAATAAAATTGATGCACAGCCTGTCTGTACATGGACTTTGCACAAAGTTCAACTTCTGCCATGCAGACACTTCACACAAACACATGGAAGGGTGGCTGGCACACACACACGCTCGTGATTTGCAGGTACTCACCGTAGACTGGTGTTTTCCCTGGCAGAATGACCACGACGAGCTGCAGCCCCGTGTAGGTGTTTTTGAGGTGCCTGAACATGGGCTCCACGCTGTCGGCTCCCTGGGCATATTTGCAGAAACAGGGCTGCCCCTGAATGGGCATCCCTGCATCCCGGGAAATCTTCCTCAGCTGTTCCGTAAAGGACCTGGAGGACACCCGAACATTAGGCTCTTTGATGGCAAAAAAAACATTTTGACTTGGTGCTCATTTTTAACGGAAAATTATTGTTATACTGTTATACTTGAAAAGTTTTGCTGTATAAAAAAACAAACAAACACAGATTTTGTTTCTAAATAAACGGCTTTCCCTATTTGGCAACTGAAGGAAAAAGAGAGGGAGATCATCAAACGCCTTGTGTAAATAACACTCTTAGGAAAAACTTCATTTGCAAGGAAAATAAACTACTCCATCCCATCAGTTCTGATGATGGGAAACATAGTGAGAGCTACTTTTGGGGAAAAACACTACAGTAACATCATTTTGGATAGCTAGCTCTGCAATACTTCATGTTCCCTGGTAGCAATCTTAAACTATCACCAACGCTGCCCAAGACCTTTTCTTATTTTGGAGCAGATGTCCCCACAGGTGCTTAAGAAGTTGCCTGTTTTCATGGAAGGCTGCCAGGTAACAATCCTGCCCACTTAAGAGGATGTGAAGTTTTTGTTTCTTCTATATCCAAAGTTATTCTCAGGGACCATGAAAGAACATGAGCCTCAGCCCTGCAGCTTTTGACTTCTTGCCAAAAGAGGCATGTTGCACCCTTTCCCTGGCAAAACAGGCCCCACTGAAAGCAGAAATAAGCAGCAGCAGGATATACAAGCCTGAAATGCTACATCTTTTTAAACTGTTTTTATAGAAATCTATCCACAAGAATGATTTCTAATAGGAAAGGTGATTTCACTGCTCCCAAGAGTTGAAGTCAAATGTTTTGAAGACATTTAGGGATTTTGAAGGTGGTCACTCCAAGCTAGGGACTCAACAACTCGACAGCAGCTAAGTTTCAACTTGCTCAACAAGATGCATCTTGTTGGGACGGGATGCAGAGAAATTCCCAGCATGAAAGAACTTCCTTTCAGGACGAGGACAAAGTCCATCTAAGCTCAAATTGTTTGATCTCGTTATCTTGCAGGTAGGTGTCACTTTTAAAAACAGTCTTGATTTATTTGTGCCCCAAAAAACAGAGAAACCATATTTCAAAAGACAGTTTCATTCATATGCTCAAGGTCAGCAAAACAACAAGCTGATCTTGTAAACACAGGGGTTGATACATCACTGTACCTGTAGTAGGGAGAAAACTGGAGAGCAAAATTTGATTGCTCTGCATTAAATTTTACCTTTTAAACAGGTTCGACACAGATGGATTTGTGATTGTTTGTTGGTTTTTTTCTGCCCTTTTCAGGTATATACTTAAATTGAGACATAAGACCATCAATGCTAGTTTACAGTATCGAGAAATACTTAGTGATAATCACTGTTCACTGCCACATTTCAACAGTCCCCATTGTTCCTTAATGATCTTTAACTCTCTGCTAAGGCTTCACCGGGATAGGAAACTGGCCATACACTGCAAGCTGCTGCTGATGCTGAGGATTTTTTAATATTGATTTTTGAAATTGTGTTTGCACGGTACAAAACGATACCTTCAAAAACCCAGGACACTGAAAGCTCAGCTAGAGCATCTAAAACAGTGTTACAGACATTTGGAAATATGTTAAACAAACAATATGTATATATAGCTAATAAACAAACAACTGCAATAGCACTTCCCTACATGACGAATACGTAATAAAACCATCCTCTTAGGAAACACACTTACTTAAGATGAACTTCAGTGCACTGGCGCTGAGGAGCAAAGCACGCAATTGCCCAAACTTTTATTTCAATTCCAGTGTGAAACTGCTTATTCCTCATGTCCCAAACACCTTGAACTGGTGTGGCAATTGCTTTATTCTGGAAGCGGAAAGAAAAAAAAATTATGCAAAAAACAATTTTAAGTAGCAAAAACCAGTTACTGTCCTGCTGTCCTCTAATTTGGAGGCTATTAATAGTCTCAGGTTGTTCTCTGTTGTTAAAATCTCTATCCTATCTTAAAAAGAGAGGCTGCTATTCTGGGAGAAGGTAAAGCGTAAGGTGATCATAAACTCATTTTTATTGATGATAATGGTTATATAAATTATCAGCAAGTAAAATTACATATAAAGTCAGAGAGTCACAACAGGGAAATAGTAGTAAGAGGAATGCACTGCAGTGTCTTCACAACTGCTCAGTGAACTTGGCAAGGATTAGTTCAGCTTCCCGACACTTGAGGGACTTCATTCAAGTATTATTGACGTTTTACGCATCGGTAAAGGGAGACAAATAGTGGTTCAAGGTCACTTGGAATAAAAAAGTGAAAGAGCTGATGAGAGATGGCTGCTTATTGAACTCTGACCTGTGTTTGCACAAGTCACTGCAGTCTCTGCCCTTCATTTACCAGCAAAGGCCAAGTCACATTTGCTAATTCACTTTGCAAGGAGTTGTGTTGGCTAAAGGCAGACCCAACGCCACCCCGACGTGTCACCATTTATCTGCCTCTGAGGTTTTGTTCCCACTTTCCTGGTGCCATTGAAGTTCATGGGAGCTCTCTCCCTAATCGGGATCAGGCGGAGGCAGCTGGGTTAACTCAACTTGGCAGGGAGGGAAGGTTTGAGCTAATCTGTCTGGTCTGAAGAACGTTAAGGGGGAGGCTCAAGATCTCTCCCCAGGGCAGGTTTATGGAGGGGACGGTCTGATTTGTGCCTGGGAACAGAGCTATTTCCAGCTGCAAGGCTTCATTCACGTGACGTGCAGCAGAGGTCTCCACAAGCTATTTTATCATAGGTATTACTCACACTCTTGCAGAGAAAAAGGAGGCATTACATTACGTAATCGATTAAAAAAATATAAATACCCAACTGATTAAAAAAAATCCTGTTTCTTAAGCTTTTTTGGAAAAAGCAAGAGCAAGGGTAGGTATGATAGCGACCACGTGATGGGCCATTTTAAAGCAAAGAACCTGTCAAATGCTCCAAGAGGAAGTGGTGCCTCTGGAGAATAACATGCTGATAGAGTTAATACCTTAAGACAGTTGTCCTAAACACAGCTGTTTGCCCCAGAAATCTCTAAACCCAACCTGAGGTTCAGGCAGAAGATTTCAGTGTTAAAGGAGGCAAAAAAAAAAAAAAATTAAACCCAGAATTTCTCTCTGTTCTTTTCTATATGCACTATGCACTGATTTGAACTCCTGTTTGTGATTTTCTCCTTGCAAAATCCCCCAAAATAGTGAGAAATACAATATGATTTATACATTCATATCAAATGAAAAATATGAACCATTCACTTAAGTGAAAAATATGTATTTTTCCCTAGTTTTGTAATGAGAGAGGTAACATATCACAAAGAACTCTAAGTTTAAGGATGAAAATTTAAAAAAAGTGGGGGGGGAGGGGTGGAAGGACCTACTAAACATTTTACCAATCATGATTTTACCCCTCTACATCCAATTTCGTTCAATTAAAAACCTTTTAGGAGCACATTAGAGAAGCTAGCACAGCTGGTAATCCCTTGCTCACAGGTCATGCAGGGCTGGTTTAACGTACCCGGCCTCCGTAGAGGATTGAGGGAGGCTGCAGGACTCTGCCGGTCACATCGGTCATCTCGTCTTTGACCATTATCCCAAACTCACGAACATAAGGGTCAGTGTTGAAACTCGCACTCCGCATCTGGAATTTAAAGGAAGGAGATATTGCTTACAAAAAAAAAAATAAGAGAGAGAAAGAAAGCTCTGTTCATGAGATTTAACATTTTCAGGGGTATTCAAACTTGAAGAGGTGTCCCTACATGGGTGATGCCAAGCAACCCGAGCCTCTGTTAATTCCACTTGGATACTTGCCTTCAAAATTTGAAATAAAGTGAAAAAAACAATTAATTGAAAATTAACAGAAATCAAAAAATGGAATTGAAATTTGAAAATTTCTCCAACAGAAAAAGTCTTCCAAAAACTACCAACAACTCCTAGCCAGTCTCTTGTAGCAGCAGGAGGAGGTTTGCTACCCCACTCTGCTCCCCAGAGCACTCACCAATTTGCTAATCTCTTCTTGGCGATCAGGTGCCGAGCGGGCGGTTGCCCGAATCATAGTGGAAGTCTGATTGTCTGTCAGTTTTTTTATGCATCTCTGTCCTGCCACTATGTTGCACACCTGAAACAGCCCCACAAAGCTTGAGTTAAAAAAAAAATTGCAAATGTTATATATTTTTTTCTGCTTACTTACATGATTTCTAAAATTAGCTACTGTTAAAGCACAATTTGCCAAGAGTTCAGGCTTTTTTCTCTGCCTCCCCTCACGTGATGCATATATTATGTATGATACAGTATTATAGAGAAGTTTACTTGCCTCGAGAGGGAGGTACGTGTGTTTCTGCTCCTGTCCGACTTGTAAACATGGAAGATGAGGGTAGCGTAGAACTAACTTGTGCCTGTCCTTA